CGCCGAGAATTCCCGTGATCGGCCGACGATCGAGACCGTCGATCCCTCGTCTCGAGCCGTTCCGTTCGTCTCGGACGCGTCGCGCGCGCGATCGACCGAATCGAGATCCAAGATGGTTCTATTTGCAGATGTACATAATTCCGTCTCGTATCTCTCGCTGCGTTTTCGCAGCCGATTCGGAGCGGATGTTTCTAGTGTTTCAGCGTACGCTGCGCCTTCGAGGAATCGATCTTTTTTTATAGCGATTCGCCTTCGTCTTGGAAGACCGATTTATGTTCGTTGGAATGTTTCTGCGCTACGAGTCTTTGGAATCTTTTTATTGTAAGACGTTGAAAACGTTGCTTGAAATGAGTGGAATAATTGCTTTGTGATTCTTGTCTGTTGAATCGATGAATTTTCTTTCGAATCATTGGAAATTTGACAAACTGAAATTGTAGTTGATGTCTTCTTTTTGCAATTATTAGAAAGGTAACAAATGTTTCTGTGAGAAATTATTGAAGTTCATTTAGCACTACGCAAATTGGATTGTAAATCAAGTAAAGTCTGAACAGATGCACTCTTGGAGTTTCTATAGCGAAATTTTAAAAGTCAATTGAACTGCTCGGTAGTTTTAGTGTTAAAATCACCCATTCCTATCGTCTTCCTTGAGCAATTATTACAGAGATAACAGATGTCTCTGAGAAATCGTTAAAGAAATTGATCCAGCACCACGTAAACGAAATTAATTAAAGTCTCAGTAGACGTACTTTCGGAGTTTCCATAGACATGTCAGAAACTTCACTCAACTGCCGGTAGATTTACTGTTAACACTAGGTTTACATTCATTGTACAGTTAATTCTATTGTTCCTGGGGAAGTTATTATTCGTCCATTCAGATTTTAGAAATTAGATGTAGAAATAGACAATCAAGATTCAGATTAAAACATTTACCAAGTAACGTTTATAAAATTCGATCTGCATCAAATTAACGCGTTCCGTAAACCTAGTGTTAAGATTCTCTCGAATCCCCATGAAACGTACAATTTCTCGCGCCACTCGAGATCATGCTCAAGACCATCACGCTGCAGCTACTTTCGCAGGAGTACGGTATTGAAAAAAGTCGCGGTGGAGGACCGTTTCCGTTGATCCTCGGAATCAGTGGCTGCCTTAAGAGGCACTAGGCGCGACGAGGAGCAGAGGAGAGACCTTCGTGTGTACGGCGAATTCTGTGGAACCGGTTATTTTCCCTGCATATCAGAAGGAACGTTTAACCTCATTCCCCGGTGGAAGAGGGAGGCCGGCCGCGGCGGGCAACGGAACGGGCGAGAAGAAAGGGCGCGACGATTGAAACCGGCGGCCCGCTCGCGTTCCCGTTCCGGCGGCGTTATTTAATATTCATAATTCCCGGCCGGAGCGCGTTTCTTCGATCCGTGAAAATGCAAAGGGACGCCGTGGCCGGGCGGGTCGCGGGGCGAGCCGTAAAGCAACTTTTAGACCGTCCACACGATAAAATCGTCTGACTCACCCTCCAACTATTTTCCCGAGGCGGCGCGAGCGCGCGCGCGGCGCTTGTAACGTTTCGAAAGTCCCGCGGACGACCTCGATTTCACGCGTAACACTGACACGCGGGGAGACGGCCGACGACTCCGTCGGAAACGGGGAGGGGGGAGGAACATGAAAAATAAATCGAGGATCCGTCCGACGAAACTGGTCCCCGCGAATAAACGGAACGGGGAAGACTGGACGGTGTCATTGATTTTCCGCGGTGTCTCGCGGATGATGCTCTGCGGAGTAAATGAAGAATTGCGAAAGGTGCGGAAGATTGGTTGTTGGCGAGGGATTTTTAGTAGGTTACTTCTGCGCTTGTGGAGAAGGGATTTTGCGATTTATTTAGGAATTTTAGTTGTGTTTACATTGAGATGTTTTGATGTTTAACGTTCTTATTTCGTAATTATTGATATCTTAACACTAGGTTTACGGGCATTTATTGTACACTTCATTATATTATTCCTAAAAGAATCGATGCTCGTTTGTTTAGATTGCGGAAACTGGAGATTTGATAGTAGGTAATTGGGGTACATGTCAGTGTGATCAATCAAAATTCGTTGTAAACATTTACAAAATAATATTTCTAAAATCCAATATGCGTCAATTTCACGCGTTCCGTAAACCTAGTGTTAAAAGCATTGAATATTCGAAATGATCTTGAAAGTAAATAGTTTCACTTGAATACTGTAATGAATGTCTGAAGAAATTGAAAATAATAATAATAATAATAATGCTTTACAAGACACAGAGTAGTGATATTGACATTAGAACTACCATACCAGTCAAAATGGTTTCAATTTTTCTGTTTCCCTTATTGATATCTTCGAAGCATTGAATATTCGAAATGATTTTGAAAATAAATAGTTTCACTTGAATACTATAATGAATGTCCGAAGAAATTGATAATAATCAATTATTACAATTTTTATAAAGATTTCATATTAATCGTATTAAATGCTCGGCAGTTTTAATGTTAAATAGTATTGAAATCTGCACGGTTATTCGTGTTCGTATCCTGTGTATCGAATATTTGAATGTTTGCGTTGTATGGAAATGGTGTATGACAGTGAAAATAATGCGCGTTGATCATTGGATGATCATGATCGAAGGAAACGAAATGGAGGCACTGAGTCAAAGAAAGACCAACATTGCCAGGGAAGTTGGTTCCTTTTTGGAACTATTAGTCGGAGTCGCGGCTTATTTACGACAGGCCGATTTCCAAACGAACGTGACCCTAAAACGTCGACTCGTCAGACGTCGGACGTTCGTAAAGGGGATGCTATCGGGGGTTGGAATTACGAAGTTCGCAACATGACACGCGCTATTGAACCGCAGACGCTCCATATTAATGTAACTGTTTATTCGTCCGTTCTCCACGCGTGAAAGCTCTCGCTTCTAGAATTCCCTTTTCTCGAGTCACTGAAAAACAGAATCTCCTTGATTCTTCTCGTTAGTAATTCACGAATTGAGTAACCACCGATAAACAGCCTCTAAACCCATAACACATTCTTATTTCCAAGCAATACAAAGTCGTTCGAAGATACTCAACTTCAACTGTTCCTCACGCGATGAAGTACATCGTCTAATTCCGAACGTTTATAAATAACTCAATCCGAAACAAATTATACATTCGCGTCACGCGAAGATCGTACATCATCGAACAATTCTCCGGGCAGCGTGAAAGCGTCCGATCTAAAAAAAGTACGAGGAAGTTCCGCGCTGGAAATTCTACGGAACCCGATCGTCCCGCTTATTAATTATTAATCCGGCGAAACAGAACGTCGGGAAGACGATGGTCGGCTCGGATCGCCGGCCAAATTGGCTCGGTGCCCGGTCCGCCGCGAGAAAGAGGAGCGCGCCGCGCTCAGACAGGCCGGTAATTAAAACGCGTATTAATAACTACAAATTAAACGCAGAAAAGAAAAATAAGGGACAGCGAGTCGCGGGTCCGCCCCGCGGAAGATCGCGGAACGGTCCGGTCGGCTCGCGCCGCGAGTGAAATTCGAACGGAAGCGTCAGGGACACACGTCCTGTCATTTGCCGCTGACACGGATTCCTGCGTATTGACGGTCAGGACGCGCCGTATCCTTCGGTCTGCTCCTGACAGCTTTATTTTGTATTAACGCTCGATTTACACGCCGGCCCCGAGCTATTACACGCCCACGTGATTTTTATTATTTTCCGCTCGACTTTATGTCTGCCGGACTCCTCTCCATTCGCAGGGGATTGTGTCCGTACATGGCCAGACACCGGCCATCGCCCGGTTTCTCGATTCACGGGTATCAACGCTGATAACGTGTTCAAGAAGTAATTTATATTTTCTTATGTAATTCAATGCTAGCACAATTCTTTCATTAAAAATTAAATGAATATCCATTGAGTGAGATAATCTCGTTTGAATTGTAACTCGTAATCGAATATACACGGGACCCTCGATTTACGCGGACCTCTTTCAGGCGAGACTCTTGTTTGCGCGGTAAATTGGAACGCAGTTTTACGTAAACTGAATTTAGTAACAGAAAATAAAAACTCTTTTCTAAAATATTATTCTTTTGTTAAGCTATGTGAAATAAACATGTATTTCTAAAACTTCTATCAACATTTCTCGTCAGTATTTTGTTTTCTCTTATACTGACAGGCTCTATTTACGCGATTTTCCTTCGCGTAGCCCACGTGGAACGGACTTAAAAACCGAGGGTCAGTTGTATGTTCAACCCTTCGCGGACGAAGACCTTTTAACTCTAGATTTACGGATATTGTTCAGTTTATTCTATTCGTCTTAACAAATTCGTTCGTTCATTTAGATTTTGGAAGTTGGAGGTTTAAAGATTAGACGATTAAAGTACACAGTCGTGTTACCGCATCAATGAAAATCGACAGAAACACTTACTAAGTAATGTTTGTAAAATTCAATGTGTCAAATTGACGCATTCCGTGAACCTAGTGTTAGTACACAAAGATTGCGACGTATGAAGCTGAATTACACATCGAATGCTCAAACAATAGTAAAAAAGGGAACTATACATCACTTGCTATTCAAGTAATGAAATCATTCCTTTGCAGCTTAGTATTCCACATGAAAATTTCATCTGATACGTCGACATTCGTCCGCAAAGTGTTAACAGACATTGCGCAACGGATCCTTTGTTTCTTCGATAAATAACAACAGCGTATTTTTAGGAGCAATCAAAATACTTATAAATAATGAGCGGACAGCGTTTATTCTTGTGCACGGTTCAGATCAGTTCGAACCGAAAATAAATCTTCGTCGGGCGTCATATTTTTTATTCCAGGAGCACGTGAATTATTTTAACGCCGTCGATTTATAAATATTCCGCTATCAGGCGACAGATCAATTTTCCGCGTTAATTGGACGCCAGGCTCGATCCGATTTCACTATCGAACCGGGAATCCCGTAACTCTCTGAACCGTGTACAAGGGTTGCGCGGATTTCAAGTTGAAACAAGACTCACCGCTGTCGGCGTAGGTCTCCGAGCCGTAGCCATCCTGAAGACCGCTCGCCCACGTGCCCTCGTACCTCGCCGTGGACGTTGTCGATTGTCTGACACCGTATCGACCCTTGTACCCCTGCGTCCATTCACCGCGGTATATCCACCGGCCACGGGTCTCCATGCCCAGTCCATGCCTCTTTCCGTTCTGCCATTGGCCCTCGTACGCCGATCCACTGAAACCGAACGGTCACGGTAACAATACGATCGCGGGTAATTATTAGACTGTGGATCCAAATTTTTCGGAATATGTTGATCGATGGATTACAAAGGAATTCGGTTTACGGTTAAGTCAAGCCAATCGCAAAGTAGTTCAAATTGGAATGAAAAGGATCGGTGACGCAGTGACCGAAACAGAACACACTACTGACGATCGAATTGAATCGATATAATTAGGAACATCACGGTGGAAAATCGTTTTCTATATAGTACGCTTCAAATGTTTCATGTATTTTTGTTTCGTATGCGTCTTATGTAATTTTGCAATAGTAATATTGCAGTATAGTAATTATATTAGGTCACATAAGTAATATCGTTCTCTTTACACCTAGTGTGAAAAGTTAATATAATTTGATATCCTTCAAGTAGATTTCTAATGCTGTTCAAAATGTTTCATGGTTTTCCATTGAGACATTTATAATAAACGACGTTACTTATGAAATGATTTAATAGTTACACTTGTTGCTTGGATACGGTTTTTTTTCATTTTGTCCATCGACCTGAATTAGTGTAATGGTTCTTGTTCTGAAAGAGGAGAAAATTCTTGCTGAAAGAATTTTCCTTTCTGCGAATGGTTCGACGGCGTGGAGATAGTCAGACAATTAGAGAGATACAGAACTGCGACAACAGTCAGTTAGTAGATAATTAAACGTGTTTCCTTCGTCCACCTGACTAAACGTAACATCGAAATACATCTACTCCAGTGCTTTCTGCTTCGAACATTTCCAATCTTCATCCCTTATTTATTTTAAAACGCCGACTACTTTACTAATGAAATTTCTCCTATTACACTAAATTAACTTCGAAATCGGAATTCATGAAAATGAGGATATCTGGTAAATAAAATAAGTCCACGTTTCCAAGAGGTACTCCAACCCATCAGAAATTAGAGACTCGAGCGACCGACGAACATTTTTGTCGTAAAACGGAATACTAAACCCAAACCCAGCCTCGTACCAATCTCCATTTTAATATGCCCCATCCACCGAAATTCGCTATAAATGCATAAAGCTGCATCTATTCGTTCCGAGCGCAACGGAACCTCCAGCGGTGGGAATAAAATTCTGTCCACCATCTCCATAAAGTAGTCAGTAAAATCGCTGGTTGCGTAAACAACGGCGTGAAATAATCATCGCGGAGCGTCATCTCGAGCAGCCATTAACGTATTTACCGAGACCCGAGGGGACTGCATAAAACTGTCGACCGTTCCGATGGAATTCGGAAATCTCTCGAAATCTCGCACAGTGCGGCCGTTTTCTGGATAAAACTTGATAACAAAAAGTATAAGTGCTACAAACAATTGCTTTAGATGAAAGTTACACAGCTAAATATACGGTGGTTATATTTTTGTTTACATTACGCGGATGTTATGGAGTTTTTTCAATAATAATGGATACTTCGCCCGATTCCAACGTTATGTACGTAGAGAAACGGAGTTTCTTTGCGCAACATTTGTATTTTTCAAATGACAATCATTGTATATAGTAGAGATTACTTAGCAACAGATTGATAACCTTCAATTTTAGTTATGTGAATAGTCGAATTTGGAGAAATCAATGACTTAAAGAGTATGTGTGATACAAGCAAATGTTTTGGACAAAAGTTGTAAGGTATAAGTTTTCCCAATGACAATGGACACTTTCCGTTAATTTCAACGTTATACAAATAGAGAAACGGAGTTTTTTACACAAAATTTGTATCTTTCAAATGAAAATCACGTCGTATAGCAAGGACTACTTAACACATCGATAACCTTCAACTTTTGTTATGCGAGTAGTCGAATTTCTGGAGAAATCTCAATAACTTAAAGGGTATGTGTGATACAAGCAAATACTTTAGACAAAAGTTGTAACGTATAAGTTTTTCCAATGACAATGGACACTTTCCGTTAATTTCAACGTTATACAAATAGAGAAACGGAGTTTTTTACACAAAATTTGTATCTTTCAAATGAAAATCACGTCGTATAGGAAGAACTACTTAACACATCGATAACCGTCAACTTTTGTTACGCGAGTAGTCGAATTTCGGTATTTCGCGACGTCATCTTTGTTATCTTTCTTTTTGTTTGTCCGGCGCGAACAGTTCGCCGGAGATTATTTCCCCGGGAAATTACGCTCGGACAATCGCGACGATGTTCACGCGCCGATGTCGCTTGTAAACACCGGCCCCCGGCAGCTCGTTTTAATTAACAAGGATCGTAATTGAAAGTTCCGTCGATATCGGCGACGAGGAGAACTCCGCGGCGCGCGGACGGACGATCGATCGGGACGAAGGCCGGCCCTGCATACAAAGTTCCTGCGATTTTTCTCGATACCGTCCTCGAAACGCGCCACGGGAAAGTTCGGGAAAATTGTCCGGTTATAGCGGCGAGGGCGTCGACGGTGGGAAAAAGTAAACGCGGGTACGCGCGCGGCGAGCCACGGTCGTCTCGACATCATTCCGGAGACGTTACTCGGAGAAGAATTTAATTAAAAGTTTGAATGGCCAGGCCGATGATAATGGTTCCGCGTTACGTTGTCTTGTGTTACGCGATTATCGGATTAAAAAGTAGCTCGCGTCGAAAGCGGTTTGAACGTTCCAACAGGAATTTTTTCGCTGGAATATTCTGGTTTATCAAGGCGGCTCGTGTTTTCCGTTTAGCATCTATCGTAACGAGTGTTATACTTCATACTCCGTAAAGTTCTTATCGATGAATGATAATGAATATACGAGTGGATCGATGTAAGTCGAAAAACGTTATTCGAACGAAATCTATCTCTCAAACGAATCTCTCGGAATCTAGGACACCGGGATCAGAGGGAGAAAAAATAAAGGTGGGATTTAGATGGCGAAACGAGGTAACTTTCAGTTTTAATTTCGCGAAAGTTTCGATCATTCCAGGGGAAAGTGGAATAGAGGTCTCTGCGTTCGATCGCGGCACCGCAGCGTCAACAGCCGCTGATCCCGCAAATCCCCGAAATCACCAGCTCCCTTTTCGCGTCCCTCCCATCGCCGGCAGCCGCGGCGGCCGCGATTTATCCGGCGTCCCTTGGAAAACGTGACTTGACGGAGACCTTGCTCCAGTTTCGATGGGAACGAAACGACGGGATCTCTCGGCCCAGATACGTGGTCGCGAGGAACACAAGTTTCCCATCTTTCTCTCTCTCCCTCCCTCCCTCTCCCCTTTCTATTTTCCTCCCACGGGTATTTCCACCCTTCCGGCCTCGCGAGCCACTGGCTCCGATACGGTGGATCCGTCGAAAGTGAATATTAAAAGATTAGGTCGTTCCGCGAGCCAACCGCTCGTTAAATTCGCGCGCCGTTACGTCGATAGGAATGGCGGATTAATCGAACGGTCCGGTGTATCTTCTAACGGATAATTTTCAACGTTTTATGAAAATTACAATACGTTTTTTGAGATTCCACAGGTTTCCTACTCTTGTGTCTGTACAGGATTTAATTGAAAATCTTTCGCAAAGTGGCTTGAAATACTTGCAAAATAGAAATTTCGAAATCGGTCGATTTGACCTGTAGTTTTTGTGTTAAGAACTGATTTCTCTCATCAAATTAGAATATCGGTGAAACGGTGACGTCTATTCTAAGTACCGCTTTCTTCGTATTTTTGAGAAATCGGCAGGAAACGATCGATGTTGTTATTTGCGGGTTATCAGAAGTTTTTGGTGAACTTGTCGAGTAATTTTAGAATTCCTCTCCCGGTCGGGAATAGAACAAAGAATTCGTTGTAACGAACAAAAGATAATAAGCCTGGCTGTTTTTGGTATAATAAAAGAGAGAGTGTATATAATTCAGGGAGAAATACGATCACTCGATCTGGAGAAATGCGTGAGTCAGCGCGCGCGAACGCGCGGATCGCGCAAAAATTTAGAGCATTCTTGCGCGGAGATTTATTTGACTTTCTTTATTTTTTCGGGGAACGTTTACGACATTACTTAGAACAATTTTCTTTTTCGGCGTTGCGCGAAAGATTTCGCTGAGTTAATAATAAGTCCCGTTGGAAAAAGTCGTCGGGGCGATCCGCTCCTTCCGCCGGGGAACAGTGGACAATTTAATCTCCGAGGTAAGTTTATAATTATTTCAGTCGAGGAACGTGTTTCCTCCGAAAGGAAAATTCGACATCGAAGCTTCCCTTGTTAGGTTCCAACGGCCGAACCGAAAATCACGAGGGCAGTTAACGTGGATCCGATTGGTCGGCGAAAAC